ACTTTCTGCTATAGTATCACAGTAAACCACACATATCTTTTTTACTGTTTATACAGTGTTTTTGCCTTTCCAGAAAGAAAATAAATTAGCATCAAATAAAAAAATGCATCTCATTTTCCCCAATTTTGCTTTTAATATAAAACATTGAAAATTCACAATCCATGTATGAATTGTATAGAAAGATACATTGAAATGTCATCATTCAGAAAACATACATCAATCATAAATTTCTGTCATGCATGAAATGAAACTACATATTCAAAAACCACCTACTGTTACATTACAAATTTTCGTTCCAACCCAGTATAAATACATGTAGGTAAGAGAGTAAAATAGGAGTAGACGGTTGTTCTTTATTATGAAACTGAACATCTACTATTATGGTAAGTGCAACATGTTGCCACAGGACACATAAAATGCGCATAAGCTAATCACAAAAATTCAATAAGAGATATGAGGAATAATAAATACAAAGCATAAGAAGAGGTGAAAAAGAAATTGAAGACATAGTTTTTCTATTAGCTAATTCACCAAAATTCTGAGATGAAGTATTTTCATTATTTTGTCATTTTTATTTATAATTCAGATGTAACTTTCACTAATATTTTCCTTTTACAATTTATCCATATATTTGTTAAATTAAAATAAAAACATAAGCTCTGATGAGACAAACTTGCATTCTACACCTTCAGGATACAACATGAACTATTTTGGCTATGGAATATTTATATTGTAATTCCACCACCTCTTCCTTCTGAATCAATGAACTGAAACTTTTTAAGCTTTTAAAAAAGGTTATTAGCTTAATGAACAACAATTAAATAATATGCTTTAAAGGTATACTTAGTCAAATTACACTGAAATACCAGCTTTCAACTGATCATCAAAGTTGAGCAGTGTTGTCAATACTTAGATGGGGGACCAGTGAGTAGTGTAAATGAAAAAACAAGTACAAATCCAGTTGGGCATGGGGATAGTATTCTGATCTTATAAAGCTTTATTTGGTATAAAAAAAGCAGCAGCAATGCCTGATTTTCTGAGAGCCCTGGCCCCATATTCCTCAGTGGAGTCTACAGGACTAAAGGAGGAGGAATGCATATATATATATATATATATATATATATATATATATATATAGATAGATAGATAGATAGATATAGATATTAGTGGTCAATATATATATATATTTTCAAGAGCATATAATCCAGGTAGAGTATATTTATATTATAGTCTTGCTCTGTCCTAAACGGACAGAGCAAGACTATAATATAAAAGGCTCAAACACTAATATTTCATGGTTATAATTGATTATATTGGAATCATAATCACGATCCAATTCATCAGACCTACAAATTCAAGAAGAAATTGGATTTCTTTTTGAATTGTTTCCAATGTAATAAATTATAACCATGGAAATATTAGTGTTTGAGCCTTTTATATTTATTATATATATATATATAGTTAGCTAATGAAAAACTAGGTAATCCGTATGGGTAAACCTAAAAAGGATATATATATATATATATATATATATATATATATTTTTATATAAATGGATGGAATCTCCTGTTGAGAATGATACTTTTACTGAACAACAGACACGTGAATTCTTTTTAAAGTGGTCAATTGCCTACGCTCTGTAATGCACATTCTCATCCTCATAGCATTATGTCCTGTTCTGGTGCAGTGTGTGCCCCATATCAGATAATGCTATAATAGCAGTTTTTTTTTTTAATAGTTGGTTCCTATTCAAAGTATATCTGCTCTTTGACAACATTATCCAGACTGATTTGAATTCAGTTTTCTTTCTACTACTGGTTACCAACCAAAGCTATAAAGCCTAGGCTGTTCTGCTTTGTAGATACTATTGATGTGCAGATGCTATAAAGGATAATAGCTTGGAATGAGAAATCAACAGAGTTCAAATTCCATTTGAGTTCATTACATTCACTTACATGCAAATACCCTTGGGAAAAGATTGACTCCATTTCTTCTCCCTCCACCCATATATATATATATATATATATATATATATATATATATATATAGGTGGGTGGAGGGACTATCTGTGCTTGAAGGTTTGAACTTTCTGGTGTTGTTTAAACTACTAATCATGAATGTCCGCTCAGTATAGTTACATTAAAATCCACAGGTTGGCTCTGTGCCTGTTGAACAAACACAAATGTGCCTGAGTAGGTATCTGAGACAGGGATTGGATAGTTGCCCTAGTAGACAGGTGTGCTTGAAAACTGAAATAGCCAGCCATTTTATTATGTGTGTGTGTGTGTGTGTGTGTATATATTTTCTGTTTATACGTTATTTTCATAGATACAAATATTTAAAAATAATGTATAAATAGAATATATTAAAATAATTGTCAGACTTAGTCAATTTCATTATATATATATATATATATATATATATATAAGATAAAGAACAAATAGGAAATGTTTATCAATCTAGAATGAGATATGGAGAAAAATAAGAAATTCTATTATTTTTAATTTTGTGTAGTTTGATTTTCATGTTAGATCAAATTCTGTAGAAATATTTTCAGGAAAATTAAGATCAGGAACCTTGTGAACATCTCTCAAGTTTTTCATGTACATTTACTCTTGTTTATATATTTCTTACATTGCCTGCAAAGCCATTTTTTACTTACTATTATGCATTCTTTCCTTTTTCAGTTAGCAAACTTGTTGGCTCTATAATAGACTTGCATATAGCCAAAGCATTTAATTTAGCAAAGTTTTACAAATCAATTATGGCCAGCACACAAATTTTACTTCTATAATAATCTGTATATTTTCTTACATATTTATGCTGCCTAGGTAGTTAAAATCCTATCTGAACTTAAATAATAAAAATAAATAAAATGTATATTCTAAATTCCCATTGATGCTGTATACTATTTTTACTCGTATGTGACTAATATATGAACAATGTTATTATAGAAAAGGAATAAATACTCTTATAAGGTTTAATATTTTAAAATATCAAAATTAATCTTCTTTCTTCAAAAGATTTTGCGCTATCATCTTTCTTAAGCAACTAACATATTTTGTTTCCAGGTTGCATTCATGATCAAGAAGTATCTTTTTCACATGATGCAACCATAAAATTAATAAGCAAGTTCATATAGACAGGCAAATAAAATGTTCATGTATAATTGAGGCAGGTAAAAATTTGATAGTTTGACAATGAATATATAGGTTTTGCTGTTTTTCTAAATGTTCTTCCTGAAAAAAATAAAAAAATAAGCATATCTCTACAAATATCAATTTGTTGCCTTTGGCAAGAGTAGAAAGTTATTTGTTTTTGGTTATATCTCTTTAGTGGTAATAAAGGAAAAAAAAATCTTTGTTCACCGACTGCCTCATTGCATGGATGTGTCCTGTTTCGATCACTACTGGAATTCACATCATGAATACATGCCTATTGTTTCCTCTTGCTTCCCTTTGACTTCATAACCCAACCTAAACACTGCTGCAGTTTTGCGTTTTCTCTTTCAAGGAATATATCCAGTCATTTATGTGCATACAATTTCATTGTATGGACAATTATTGTAATGTTCACTTGTAGTAAACTAAATTACTTCCATGTAAATGTTTCTTTCAACCGCCTCTGCTTTAATTAGGTGTTCTATCATATATGTGAAAATCAGTTGCCAAACTGATTTTCACATATATGATAGAACACCTAATTAATGACATGTTCTGTGTTCAGACTAGCAATCCTATAATAGGAAGTGTGCTCAGAGCTGGTGTTATAAACTTATGGTGTCAAATTTGTTTGGCTTTGCATACTAGACTGAAGTATAAATTAGATCTCATGGATCATATGACAACTATTCCTAAAAATCCTATTTACAGTTTAGGCCAAATTAAATGGGAAAAGGGGTCAATATAGATTATAACATTAATAATAAGGAAAGGAAACTATGTAATGTGTCAAATCCACATCATATACATTCATACATACACACAGAATCTGCAACTAGTTCAGGGGACAGATGTGTATGAAAGAATTCTGTCTTTATCAATAAGTGCAGATATAAGAACAGGATCCAGAGACAAGGAGAGATAATCAAGAGATAATATTCATATAACAGTATTGGTAGATAATAATTTGACAAAAATGTTCTTTTATATATTTTTTGTTAATGTACATGCACAAAAATGTTTCTGGCAAATTTAAACAACTCGTTTGAAATATGAACTTTTTAACGCCTTTTAAGGCATATATTCAACCTGCCCTGATTTTCAGTGAAATTCTATTTTTTGCTGATCTCAGCATAATTCTTCAAAACAACTGAACCAGATTGTATGTATTTCAGTTTAGAGCCATCTGAATCATGAAATGCTTTAACACTTAGGGATATTACATGATGCTGCAGTTGTTTAATATGGTTAATAATGGACATAAAATCATTCTTCAGTCTGTATGTTATAAAGAGAGAAAGTGAATACTTAAATAAAACAAAAGACAATGCATGTGTTCAGAGACATTAACTTTAATGTTTCAGGAATCAAAAGAAATTCATTTAACCAAAATGTTGGTGAATCACAGTCTTTTGATATCACTACAATTCTTATTTTGCCATAATATTTCTATCTGATGAGCTGCCAGCTTCTATTCTGCCTTTAATCTAGGCTAGATGTTTTTTTTTACATTTATTTATTCTTTCACTCTACCCCGAGAGTTTGGCATTTGCAGAGAAGTATTGTCAAAACAAATATACAAGCAGAAAAAGATTCCACAAATGATTTGTAAAACATTAATTAGTATATTCTCATAGTTACATGACAATTATTAACAGGTAATTTCAATCACCTCAAGAAATTTAATTGGAAGTTGATTACTATATTCCCATTATCCCTTTAGTTCCATAGACTCCACTGAATAGTATGGGGTCATAACCCTCAAGTGTTGGTGCTGTAGCTTCCATAGCAAGTTTTTATGGGATGAAGTTTCTAACCCCATGTCCATCTGGCTTTTGCTTACAATATGCAGTATACCCAAGTAGACCCCCATCTAAGTAATGACCAGGCTCAACACTGCTTAACTTTGGTGATCAAATGAGAACCAGTGTTTCAACATGATTTGATCGTGAAAATAAATATCAAAGACAAAAAGGAGTAAGCATTTTCAATAGCCTAAATAGTTACAAAATCTAATTTGGTTCACTTTTACTTTATTGCTTATTATATTTTCTTACAAGATAATGTAAAGCTTTGTTTTATTAATAAAAAAAATTATAATTATAGATTGATTGGTGTAAAAGTTATCCAAACAAATAACAAAGTCATTCTGACTAAAGTGTTGAGCTCTCCTTATGAAATGTCCATAGAGCATTTGTGATAATCTAGCAGTGTCTGTTCACAGTAAAAAGAAAAAAAAATTAAAGTATACAGTTTGTACAAACATAAATATTTTACTTTTCATCTTTGGGAAATTATAAATGAAGTAGGTTTTCAGTGTACAAGATGCTAACTGCTTTAAAAAAACAGCAACAACTGAACAAATTAATCTTTTGAACATAGGTCAGTATAAAAATTTTAAACTTAATTTACACTATGGGTTCAGATGAAACTATATTACTTCCATTTATTAAAAATAGTTATTAACAGATTTAAAATAAAAATAAAAAACTAGTAAAAAGGCAAAAGAATTCTGATTTTCTCCATATCTGAATTCTTGTGAGAGAAAGAATTAAGAAAAAATTAAAGATTAGAATATTAGAACACCAATGATGTGCATAAAAGTGGGTCGAAAAAAGAAATTGAAAAGCATATAAGGAGAACTTTTCACAATTTAGTTTTCAAATACTGTTTAGTTTTCAAATACGTTCCCAATTTTCAAGGATTCCAGTTTCATTTCTAGCATTTGGGAAAAATTTGTCAAATTCTTTATGTTTAGATCTATGAACAATATAGTATGTAGAAGAAAAGTTCAAGACTTAATAGAAAGGAAGTACCTGACAAGAAAAATAAGATTGCATTTACAGAATGAGTTCAAAATTAACAGGAATGAAAAACATGCAGACGTTTGTTAAAATAGTTGATATCTATGAAATAATGTTAAATGAAAAGATAATTAAAGTGAATCAGGCATTACCAGAAGTCATTTTAGTAACTTAAAAAGACAATATCAGGTTACATTTGATTGAATTCCAAAATGGGAATTTAAAAAGAAAATGTTGCATTCTGGAAAAGACAGAGTCTGAAGTTTGTATTGTTTTGAAATTAAGACCCAAACTTTCTTTCTGGGTAACCAACTGAGCAATTAGATGTTTACAATTATATAATGCTAAAAACTACAGAAAACATTTTTTATAAGTAACTTATTTTTACTGTTTGCATGTTTCTTCAGTAGTATTATTACAACTTGTTTTTGCCGAAATTTGTTTGGGTCAAATAGAGATTAATTTTAATGCTGGGAACAATGACTGACAAATAGATTTTATATCTAATTGTTTGCCTATTTAACAGGCATTTTGTATATAAAGAAATTTAATGGCACTTATTCATACAAACCGGTTCAAATGACATTTATTGCTTACAAAATAGAGATCTATTTTAGGAGAGTTGCAATAATTAAACTTTTAAAATATTTTTAATTTCTATAGATTAAATTATTTGGAGTTTTGAAAAAAAAAAAAAAATAGCCAAGATCTGAAATGGTCATTTGTTAAGTAGAAGTCTAATTGATAAATATTGGTTGTCTAAAGTTTAAGGTTTCAAATGACTAACTGTAGATAATATAATAATTACATCTTGTTTTTACTGAAAGGTAAAATAGATTTAAGACAAAAAGTTTATTAAAATTTTTGGAATAGGAATGAAAACAAAGGAAAACTGGTAAGGTAAAAAACTAAAGACATTAAAGTCAAAACAAATAGGCTCAAAACAAACATCTATCAGTAAATATCAGTAATTTGTTTATTAGCTGTACCTTAGCTTGTAAAGTGTAACCCACTTGACAATAAAAATTGTCAAATTGTGAAAATTGATTATAAATAAAATATTTGGGTTTTGTTTAAAGATCTGAAATTAAGTCCACTGATTGTATCAATGAGACAAATGCGATGAAACTGATAGACAGCTAGAGACAAAAGAAAAAAAATGGATTCAGTAATACATTTGCATACATATGAGAGAGGCTGTAAATTTTAGCATAGACATATAAGTAAATAAGTTTAGAAATAGGGAAATCTTATATACTGACACGGTTAAAGTTTTGAGGATGAAAACATATACATAACACTTGTTAGATGACAAAGAAGAGACTGAATGTTGAGTACAAAACACTGTAGGCTTAAAAGCATTTCACGTGTCTATTTATGAAAAAGATGTGGCAAAATATCTTCATTTGACAAAAGCAAGACAAATAGAAACAATAATAATACAATCTCTATATGCAGGACTGACAATAAAAAAGTTTAAATGAAAAATGGTTCAGCAAAGTGACCATAACACCAAATATAAATTTAGATCAGAATTTAGGCAACAATATTTTTTTTTTACTCATTCAATGTTTCTTTATGAAAATTGAATTTCTGTAGAAATTGGTGCTAGCATACAAAACTTTCAAGGCAACAATTTCCAAATTGTGAACTGAAATAGAACAAATGGGGTGGAATGGCAGCATAAAAAAAAGAAAGAAAAATGCAAAATAACTTAATGGAATGAAGTGCTTTTTTGATTTTTGAAGTGGGGAGGGTTGGAAGTAGACTGAAAAACTTGAAGTGTTTAAGATCATTCCAATGCAGGATGTTTATACATACTGAAGAATTATTCAAAATTGTATAAAAACTTTCATACAGGGGAATGGTTTTACTGCTTAGTATGCAATTTTCTTTTCATGATTTGCAACAAAAAAAAAATTAATTGCATTAGCATCAATTAAGAAATTTATGTTTCTCAATATAATGCTTTATGCAATTGTGTATGCATTATATAACTTGGACCAATTTTAAATGTGAATTAAGTTTAAAATCGGTCAAAGTTATTGGAATTCCCTTTATATATATAAAGTAACAAGCATTATATATATATATATATATATATATATATATATATATATATAGTAACAAACATTTTAGATGCAAAGTAGCTTTTGATAACAATTTTAACTTTGAAGTTTCATTGGAGCATCTCTCATTATAGTATTATCTCTCTTAATACAAAACAACTGAAAACATTTGTTCCTCCTCTAAAATGAAAAATGTTTCTCTCAATGAGATAAAAACCAAAACAACTGAAATTTGACACGCACCAAAAATTATAAATCTACTTTCAGTAATACATATAACAAGTGACACACTAAATTATTCTGTATGTATAATTAACAAATATAATTTTGATATATTTATTTATTAATATATATATTTTTTTAAATTTAAGTCAACTTAAAATCATTTAATATGTAAGATTTTCAAGAAAACTGTATCTTATCCTACATTTTAATAAAATGAACTAACTTTTCAGTAAAATTAAGCTTCATTAAAGTAAAACATCAAGTTAAATTAATCACATAACAAATGTAATGGTTTTATTATCATAGAAAAATATTAATTTGGGAGATAGTTATATTTTTTAATATTCTGTGTAAAAATATTTAAATGCTTTCTAATGTTATAATTTTCCAAGTTTTCTTATACAAGCTAGATATAATTATTCATATTTAGAATTTTCGCAATTGATATCATAACTTCTTTAAGGAGAGTAATTGAAAATGTTTAATATATTAGTGAATTTATAACTTACATTCTTTATAAATATTCACTTACTATTAGGTTTTCTGTATTTTATTAACAAAGTCTATGTAATCTTAAATTTATAGCATTATTATTGAATCATTAAAATATTTTTCTGTTTCTATAACATCAAACTATCAAAATTGTGCATTCCATCATAAAAGAATAATTATAGTTTTGATTCAATGTTTTGCAAAAATCTTCAAGATGTTGGAACCATTGAACAACCATGTGTTGTATAATAAAATAAGTGATAATCTGAAGGTGACAGGTTTGGAGAATATGCTGCATGTAGAACTTCCCATACCAGCTCCAGAACCATTTGCTGTCTGACACTTGCAACCTAAGAACAGATATTATCATACAACAGAATCAAGTAGTCAGCTTATTTCTCCTTACAAGTTGTAACAGAAACAATTGTTCACTGTAGTATTGGGTAGTAACAGATTTAAGCATTTCACAATAAAAAAAAATTCCATTTGAATTTCTTCACACACAAGAATTTTTCTCCCAAGTAGAATCTATTTTCATTGTGATGAGGAAGACTGTTTTGGATCTTGCTACAATTCTCTTCACTTAAAATTCTTACAAGTTCAGTTTTTATTTCTGTGCTAAGCAAGAAGCAACACTGACTGATGCTACTTTCTGGAATTCATTTTCTAGACTTCTGAATTTTCTTCCTAAGCTTTGTTAACAATATTAAAATTGACAGTCCACATGATGTTACTGAATCCTTCTTTAAAGGTTGTTACAATTAATCAATTTCTGTGGTTTAACAGAATATTCCTTGTTTTTGAACATCAAATCTCTTATTTCCATTGTTCAGTCTGTTGTACTCATCTTTATTGCCATATTCACAATGTTTTGGTTGTTGTACACTCTGGCCTTTTATCCACTAGTTGGATCCAGTGACTTGACCCAAAGAGTGAGGAGTTCAATATCTGGCTACTGCAGTGATGAACAAAAGGAGATAACTGAGACATCTGGAAGAGGCATGGCATGTGGGACTACAACAATCTACCCCGATGGATGAAATAAAGGGTTCAGTTTGAAATTCCAATCATCTGAAGAAGGTACAGCAGCAAAAACATTGTGAATATAGCAATAAAGATGAGGATAACAGTATGAACTATGTAAATAACTACAATACCTCATCTCAGAAATATAGACAGACAAAATCTCTTTTTTACAATTTCATAAACCATTCCCAACATGGATTTGCATCTGTTGCATTCTTAACAGAAATTTCAATTTGCGTTTCTTTAGCTGCACTTTTTTTTAAACATGAAACTAAATAGTATCAAATTTCTTTTCAGCCATGACTTTCACCAAAATGAAGTCAAATTATCACT